GAAGATAAAGGAAAGTCATAATGGGTTCCTATTTGTTTACAGAACAACTCTCATTCCATCAATACCTAATCAATTAACTCGGGCTAAAGTTATGTTTGTTAGAAAAATTAAAACTGCTTCTGATGCCGTAAAACCAAAGTAACATAGCGCTAGAAGAGGAAGCTGAAAGATGGGGACCCAATGTAACCATTATCGTAGGGCGAGACAGCATATTTCCAAACAACCAAAGAGTATACATCTATCTTCACATTGGACCAGTGAGCGTATACTTGAGAGACGGAGTAATGTAATGTATGTGTCGGAAGTCAAAAGTCAACGGTAGATAAGTCATGCCAACCACATACTGGAAACTTTTGGCACTTTACAGAAAGCTGAGAAAATGAGCTTGGTGTTGGAAATCTTCCTGGTCGATTTCAATATAGGAGGTTCAGCGACTCAGAGGAGTGCAGAACAAGAACAAAATCCCATTACAAAATCATACGGGAATACGGAAGACCGGATATTCTCCGAGTTAGCAAGAAAGAGCATATGTTTCTGAGGGATGGTATCGATGACAACAACTAAGCTATCGCTTTTAAGTAGTGTGTTTTTCTTTTTGTGTTAACTCTAGTCAACCAAATCGGTTGTCTTACATAGAGCACAAAACTAGATAATTTCCCTCACTTATGCACTCAGACAAGAGAAAGCTATAACATGTTTTCAAGAGGGATGTTAATGTAAACAGCGAAAAGAAAAAATTCATGAAAAACAGGGAAAGGGGGTGGTATTTTACCATATTCAGAGGTTTTAACATAGTTGTAACATCTTAGGTTGATTATTGGAGAGTCGACCTCAAACAACTAAGTATATGTCAAAACAATACAGCTGAAGTATTCATGCACTTCCTTATTTTGCATAGGCATTATATTTCCTATTATCTTGTATGTTGAAAAGCTTTATGTGTTTTAACAGGTAACCTCCTGCTCCACAATGTGCTAAATAAAGACCTATTCACTACTGACCTGTTTCATTTTATCAACAGAACGAGGGTTACCTATGGGAACGACATAGTGACATTTGGTTTTGTCCCTAATTTATTATGTAAACCATAGACTTTCATTTGATGTACGATTAACCGCCATATCCTTTTTTGTTCCAAAGCTGTTTTAATAGGAATATAACTGTTGGTACTTTATTTTTCTACCCTAATCCCCTTTTCAGACGTAGTTCTATGTTTTAGTTATTTGTGCGTTGTGATCATGTTATTCAACAATTTATTTATGTATATTTTTACACCAATCTGAATTGGGAATCGAAAATAAATCAGGTATTGTCTTTGTAGTGGCATTAGTTCATAACCACAAGATCTTTGAAGCTATAGAGATAAATACCAAAAAGATTTACATACAGCGTGTAACACTTAGAGAAGGCCAACAATGGTGAGGACGGCAACAGGAAATCGAAAATCATAGATCGGTCAAGTGAGCGCGGTAATTCCTTGCCTTTTTTATTAAATATATTACTCCCTTTCCGGCTGTAATGGGTTGTTTAGAAATACTGGACGCCATATTGCTGAACGTCGCGACAGGACGAGTCAGTGTAGACAATGGCGTGACTTTCACATAAGATTTTATAAATTAGGTCTTCACGTTATGAGAAATCCACAATTTTAGGGTTTGGTCTGTTATTAGAGTAACAAAAGTTAAATGTAACAATATTGAACTAGGCTATAATTCTACATTTCTCTGTCTCTCTTGTCAGTCAGGTGATAAAGCAGTTTTTCGTGCCCCTGCCCAGAGCAGCTAGTCCCAATTCGTACTCACGTATTTCCAGCCTAAGTGTTAGACCGTCGGCCTATCGTGTCAAGGCCCTAATCTAGATCGAGACACACTCTCTCTTGTATATTGTTGAGTTGACAAATCAAAGGAGCAACATCTTCATGCTTATTATTTTCATTATCTTGGTAGGTCTTCATGCGCAACAAAGATTTTTTGGTTCTAGCCTCCTAGAATCCCAGATTAAGAAAGCGAAACATCGTATAACACTCATTGAAACAAATGAACTCTTCAAACTTATTTTCAGCACGTAAAATGATTCCTACAGCTTGATATTTCATTATCCTTTCCTACTTTTAATCAGAATCTTCATGGAATCAATCTAAGCTATTACTACTTAGACTCTTATTCTATTTCTGTATCTTACTAAGTCAATGATTTATTTTCAAGTCTGTGTACGGTATACACAATAACTTATATTCGTACCTCAGTCTTTTTCTTACTTTATTCTAGATATCTACTTAATCCTAAGCTTTCGGTTCTTTTGGAAATTCCCCATCTATAAATTCCTTCATCCATTTGTTACCATACTTTAAGCTAATGTTCATTAGCTCATCAAAACCCATTTGCTTGAAAATTGACTTGATTACAGGTGTTAAGTTTTAATACTTATGTAGTTATAATAATCCTAACCACACAATCCTCAAAGCTGAACATTAGATAACTGGTGAAGTTAATATTCAACATTTAACACAGAAAGAAAGCCGACAGTGGTGAACGTGGGAACATTCATTCGATCGGATGGCGTTGTTCAGCGTCACAGACGTGGTCATTCTGTATAACGTGTCTCTACTTACATTAAATACATTGTTCTCTCTTTAGCCCAAATGTGTTTTTTAAAAGTGCTAGACGTTATACTGCTGATTCTCACGATACGACGAGTCAGGGTAGACAAGATGGGACTTCCACGTAAGATCTCATAGATTGGATAGTCACTTCGTGACGAATACATAGTCTTAGGATTAGGTTTATCATTATAGAAGTACTACTAAAGAACCTAGACCATAATTCTACAATTGCATCCTAATTACTCCATCATGAACAACTCATCTTCACCACTTATGGAGATTGCCTGTCCTGTTTCCTGTCATTTCCCCTTCTTTTTCAACATCCTTGTGATAGATAGTCGAAAACACATATATAGGACATGTGCTTTGTCCTACGTCGTGTTTACTAGAAGTCTGGTAAGTTTGTAATCTGGGGGACACTATCAAAAAGTACAAGTTGATACATTAAAGTTTATGTATTTCACAAGTAGTCAGAAGCGTAAACAACAAACACACAACTCAGTCGTATATATACAGCATAAAAATGTCCTTGTGAGACGTCACAAAATAGTGTATCAAAAGATGAAATGAACCAATAACACTTAGGGTCCTTCCAAGTAGGAAGTACGATTCGAAAGTAAAAATGGGTGCTTATGAACAAAATTAGGAAATTCAAGTTTGCAAGATAAAATAACAAGAATGAGACGTTTGTCAAGTGATTTCCAGGGATCCAGAGTGCCCAAACCCAAATGGTTTTCGCATAACAGTTATGCATGATTTAGTTGTTCATGAATAATAATAATATTAATAATGCTATATTCTCTCTCACTCAAAAAGAACTAGAACACTTCGGAATGTATCTAAATGCGAGCCGGAGAATCATGTCAAGGACTCAAATCCAAACCTTACGGAATACAGCTCAAATCACTAATTCTTTTTGAACTATGACTATTTGGTGACTTGCAAACTGCTAGGCACTCGTTGGGACGCTTTAGAATACCTACGTAGGCTCAGCTATAAAACCTACCTCAGAAGTACCACGCAGAAACTAGAGAAATGAACTAGCGGAGTGGACCATAGGCACACCGTTTACTTCTTACGAGTAGTCATATACCGAACTTCGTTATCGGGTTAAGTGGTGTATGTTACTTCTCAAGAGCCTGTTGAGTAAAAGTCTTTATTACGCTCACATGCGCTCGAAACATTTTAACCATCCATGATGCACATGGTTCAGAGAAATAACCTTCAGCTTCAGTTACCTCCTATTTTCTTTCCAAATAAGTCAACAAAACGTAAAGGACAAGCCTTAAAGTTCAACTCAAAGGACGGCGAATGTCCTTATGAAACGAGAGTTTTCTCGTAGAATGATAAACATTTGAGGCGACATGTTATCTGTATTTTCAACGAACTTGTTGGAAAAGGGTTAGTGATACACAAATTAATGAAAGAAAATGACCGGCAGTAAGACCCAGACCATAAAACCCGAAGAAGCTTTAATTCAAAATCAATAGAATGAGGAATATTCTGGATATGAACTAAATACGGAAGAGTCGGATAATAATAATTTCCGAATATATTAGGCTAAATCACAAATCGAAGCAAACAGTGACGAATCATTTAAAATTCATTCGTCACATATTTGTTTGGTTTTGTACTGGCAAAATATGTTTCTGAGAAGTAATAAAAGAGTTTTGTGTAGTATGATGAAAGCGGATATATCCACTATACTATAGTAAACATAGTACAGCAGAAATCAGAAACATACGGAACAAATCACAAATAAGCAAACCAAGTCAGTCTTTAGTGCTAAAAATTAAGTAGTCATATGAGTTTTGAGGCTACCTTGAGTACAGTAGAAGTTTACAGAGACCTTCAAACGTTTTTATTACCAGATACGATTGTGAAACGTAACCTAACGGATACAATATTTTCATGAATAACTTTAATATCTCTGGCGTATATTTACGAGATACGGGAAATGAGTAGCTGAACATAACATACTGGGTTTCCACAAATGCATAAGCTGTTGGTCAGCAATAGAAAACAAATGTACTGATAAAATGGGTTAATTATTACCTTTCATATGTTAAAACCGGGAAATTTAGTCCGTAGCGGATTTAAAAACCGATATTATCTACTTCCAGTTCCCACTTTCAGATCGTTGTAACCCAATGTTTGCATTATTGATGTTTTTTCGCTGCATCTCTTAATAATTACAATCGAACTTTTTGCGTTGGATGAGTATACGGACCACTTTTTCCCTTTTTTTACTTCCTAGGTTTCAAACTCATTAGAGAGCACTCGGTACCATACAGAAAAAAAGAAATGAGCACAAAATAGTTAATCAGTTTTTACAAGCAACTGAAAAATGAACTGAATATTTAAGACGATCAATTCTTATTTTGTACACAATGTGCCATCTGGCTAGTCGTAAGCTGATACATTGTCACAAAAATACTGAATAATATTACCTTGAATTCCAAACCATGACAACGAGATCGCGGACTTCTGAAGTACTGTTTAAAATGCATAAATTTATCGTTTGTGTAAGGAACTTTGAGGAAAATAAGGAAATTGTTTGAAATGTAGGACTTCATATCAGTCAGTTATTAGCTTCATCTAAATACAACTAGGTACGGTGACTTTTAATTCCTGGCACCACCTAAGACCTACATCTGCCCACATTACGAACCTCACAACACCTTCCCACCACCTCTCTTCAAAAATCCACGAATCGTTTTAAAAAATGACGGAGGTGCACTGAAAGGCTACCCGTGAGACAAAGAGATGGGCCATATGACGGGCGACTCCAACACCGTATACTGCATGCACGTGAGTGCACTCACATGAGTGATCTAGTACTAGATCACAGGAAAATGAATACGACTCGATAAGTACACAAAATAGTAACTACTTCACGTTGACTCAAAAAGGTTTCGATTTTTAACTCAGTATTGTGCCTGATGAGGCAACCCAGGATGAATTGCATATCCAAAATCTTTGTGACTAACCTGTTTAAATTGATTGGTTTCTTTACTCTTCCTGCCTGTTGTTTCAATACGTAAAGCAGATAGCACGTATGTGGTTACGTATTTTGCTTGCCCGGAGTGTCCTCTTACAGTCCCAACTAAACAGATTAGGGAGGAAATTCGACATACATATGATTTACCGTCCGTCAGCTGTTAATCACTCATAGGAAAACACTCTGCTCATTTATTAGCAATCCAAAATTACACTTCATATTTTTTCCATCACTAATTTTATTTATTTGCATTATTAGTCACCCGACAGACCATCTAGTAACTTGTCATCTCCATCCACATGCCGTTTTTGTGTAAATCTCTGCGCATTTTCTTTCTTAATTACCTTATCAATAAAATAAGTATATATTCGCTTCGGCTTCTATGTTTTCTCTGCTTCTTTATTTTTTACTTTTAAAATTTGCATTACGACTCAACAGACCACTGCTTTGTAACGTGATACCTGGTGGTCCTAGCAATCTCACCACCCTAGAACAAACGCATCCATCAGTCTTCAGTAATAAGGATAGTAGGTTGATGAACCTGTGTTAATCCTGACACATTGCTTTCCAGTGAAGGTCCAGCTTTTCCTTGAAAGTATTCACTGATGGGGCTGATACCACTTGTTCGGGTAAGGCGTTCCAATGATTGACTACTCAATGAGAAAAACGGGATCCCACTTTAAGTTTATTAGATCGTGGTTTATGAACCTTCTTGCTGTGACCTCGGAGATTATTAGTGCTGGAGGGAGCAAAAAGATAAGACATATTAACACCCAAATCATAATTAAAGATACGAAATGCCAGTATAAGGTCACCTCGTGTCCTACGATACGACAAGGGGAAAAGATTTAGGCGTTTTAAGCGCTCATCGTAAGGGAGACTAGAAAGACCCTTCACTAATTTCGTTCCAACACGCTGGACACGCTCAAGGGAGTTAGTATCCTTTATTAGACACGGGCTAGCTGCTTGGATACAGTACTCTAAATGTGGTCTAACATATATGGGGTATAAAATTCGAAACGTTTCCTCGTCAAAAGATTTGAACGCTCGGCGAAGTGACCATAACGCACGAAAACCTTTGACAGCGGCTGCTTTGCAATGCGCAGTTGTTTTTAAGTCATGACTTAATATTACTCCTAAGTCCTTATGCTCTTGAACGGATGGAAGAGGTTTACCCTCAATAGTGTAACGGTAACTATTACCGTGACCGACGTGCATTAGTACACTCTTCCTAGCATTAATTTCTAAGCCCCACTCTCGAGCCCATCTAACTAAATCGTCTAAATCAGCTTGAAGATCTACATGATCAGCCGCACTTTTTATTGTTCTCCAGATTTTTACATCATCTGCAAACAATAATGTCGACAACCTAAGTAACAGTGGTAACTCATTAACGTAGAGAAGGAAGAGCAGAGGGCCTAAGATGGTGCCTTGGGGTACACCACTTTTGACCGGCTTCCAATCGGATAGCGTTCCATTGACCCTAACTCTCTGTCTGCGGTCACATAAGAAATTTCCTATCCACTCATGTACAGTACCTATTATTCCGAAGCTCGTGAGCTTCTGCATAAGACCTACGTGTGAAACCTTGTCAAACGCTTTGCTAAAATCTATGAATATCACGTCGACAGACAGACCGTGATCTAGGGCTGCTGTCCAATCCTCCCTCGCAATAAGCAAGTTAGTCAAGCATGAACGCTTGTTACGAAATCCATGTTGCTCAGGAGCTAACAGATTGTGTAAATCTATGTGGCTTAGCAACCTAACCCGAATTATCTTTTCGAGTAACTTAACGACTATGCTAGTTAGACTGACAGGCCGGTAGTTAGATACTATCTGTCGCTGACCGTCCTTAAATATAGGACTAACTATAGCGTCCTTCCAATCTCTAGGGAGTTGGGCGAGTGAGAGGGACATGTTGAAGAGTGTCGCAAGCGGTTTCGAAATAATGTCCGCAAGAGATGACAGCAACCGTGGATGTAACCCGTCAGGGCCCGGTACCTTACCAGGTTTGAGGTTAGTTATCAACGGAAGGACAGTTTCCTCAGTCACCTGTACGGATTCAATGGTTGGTATCTCGGTGTGAGTGGGACAAGTATTTGTTACAATAAACGTAGAGAAGACTTCGCTAAAATAATCTGAAAAAGTCTCAGCTTTTGCTCGATCTGATTCAGCTAGTAATTCTGAATTTTCGTGTAACAGCAACGGGGGAATACCATCACTACGTTTCATTTGCCGTTTAACATACGAAAACAATCGTTTCGGACAAGTACGGCTATCATATACTAACTGTCGTTCGTAAGTGGTACGGGATTTCGCTATGGTTTTCTTACAGATATTACGGAATTTTCGGTACTCACGCTTAAATGGTTCATGACCTGTCAACAAGAATAAGTCCCAGAAATGTTTCCTACGCTTTGACAGCTTCCGGGTTTCCTTATTAATCCATGGAGGGCAATGTGATAGCTTACGTGCTGACCATGGGATAAACGGCGACGTTACGGACTCGAATGTAGCCTTAAACTTATTCCATTCATCTTCGATCAATCCATCCGCGTCGACCGACCAATCGGTCGAGATAGCACGGTTTCTGATTTCCGGAATATTAGCTCGCCAGATATTGGGACGGGGTGGAGCAGATACGAATTGTATACCATGTGTCCTAAACTTGAAGTGAATTACAACGTGATCACTGTTCACTAGTGGAGGAAGGTGCTGGATATCAAAGACATCCTCACAGTGGTGGGTGAGGGCGAGGTCCAGCAGTGACGGAACATGATGCAAATCAATATGTGTCGGTTTTGTGATACATTGTACAAGTGCACACTGAATAACGGTAGATAAAAGGTCGCTATCGAAACCGCTACCTGGAGCTGTAAGCTCTATCCAGTTGATATGCGGTGCGTTGAAGTCCCCAATGATGAGACAACATTCTGCCATACTCCAAGAACAGATGTGTCTTAGGATAAAGTCGTCAGCCAGACAAGACGGACTACGGTATATTCCCCCTATAGTCACTAACCCATTTCTAGATTTAATCTTACAACATGCAACCTCACATGTGCCACTGATATGAGCCTCCGATATGGTTGATTGTATACGAAAGTGATCCCTAACGTAAAATATTATACCTCCCCCCTTGCGACTTGAAACTCTATCACTTCTGATACAGATATAACCAGCGATGAAAGGAGAACAGTCTATATCAACGGTGAACCAAGTTTCTGTAACAACGATTATATCGGAACATAATTCTTGCACCATCAGACTTATCTCGGACGTTTTATTTCTAAGACTACGAGCGTTCGTGTAGCACACACTTGAGGTGTTTTGGAAATCAATCGTTCTACCCATACAGGCCTCGGAAGCATTGGCTTCCAAGACCTGACTACCCGAAAACCCTTAATGGTAAGGTTATTTTCGCCATTTAATTTGCGAGTCCTCAACTCCGTAAGAGCATTCTTCCACTTGATTCGATCCTCAAGCGGCCAATCTGGTCGAATACGGATATTTGAGGCACGAGTTTTTTGTGCGCTTTTCAATAATATGTCTCTTTCTTCGAAACTCCCGAGAACCAGCTTCAGGATCCTTCTTGGTTGGGTCTCGCCTCCAACCCATTTACCAAGTCGTATTACTTTTGTAATATGTACCCCTGAAACCTCTTCAGGTAGTACATTCCTGACCACAGACTCCACTAACTGTAGGTCATGTGCGTGTCTTTTAGCAGGGTCGTTGTCTTTCGACTCCTCTAGATTCCAAATAATTAAACTAGGGATGGGTTTAGCTTCTTTTGAAACTGTGTTCACAGCTTTCGACCGTGACGTTAGATCCTGTATTTTAACTACTGGTAGCTTACGATTAGTTTTTATTTTAACAGAGTCCTGGGAGTCAAGCGAATGACTCACAACAATGTCAGACGAAGCTTTACTATGAGACTTTGGCGGATTGGTCTGAGAGTCCACCAAGGACTTACCAAGTAAACAGTCATTAGTTTTAGCTATCTTTCCTACTCTTCTGCGTTTTCGCGTCATCCATTTTCCATCAATCGAAACGTCTACATTAGAACAACTCGGGACAGTAATTGTTTTATCTGGGTCACCGGTTGCTGCTGTAGCAATATGGCCACCAACGTCTAATGACGTGTCACTCACTGATCGTTTCGGGGGAGAACGTTTAACTGTGGGTTGCACAGGTAGATGTCTGGCTTGCGCCGTGATAGCACTTACGACACTAACGCAATCTTCGCCATCCGTACCAATGTTATCAGTACAGCCCTCATCAACCTTCTTATTAGCCAACACCAGGAGACTAATTGCTTCCTGGATAAGCAATGTTTTGCTCGAGCAACAAAAACTACAAAGCCAATGAGAGTTGGGCTTTGAACACCTTTTATATGCAGTGGGTTGAAGATTATGACTTTTTATATCTTAAAGTTAGGTTGTTGTTTTTTGACATCATATTTCTAATATCTTTTTATTATTTTCCGAGAAC